CTCTGTAAACACTTGACATTTGTAGCTCTATAGATGAGAAGATATCAGAGATAAATCTACTTGAGGCAATTCATTTCTAACAATAACTGCAGTACCCACTAGCAGTCTTGTATAAAGTCTGTTAGATAATTCATCCCCAGTATACAAGAGAAGCTCTCCCATACATACCATGGACAGTAGGCCAGGAGCCGAATGTTTTAGTTTAAAGTTCTCATCTGCGAATGGTCCTCTGTATATACTTGCCACTCCAGTGCCATCACCCTGTGGGAAGTTCAGTATAAGACTACAATGAACAGGAGTTTACAAGACAGTCCATCATCTTAGAACTTTACATCTGCCCATAGAACACACCACAACAAATACCTCTTCCAAACAACAGAGCTCCTGGTATCTTAACTCTGTCCCTATAGCAGACAATCTGTACAGCATTACTCATATTTCCCCAATGACTGTAAATGGGTTATTTGAAGTATTCATAAAAGTAGATTGGTGTACATATCCTGGCCGTCATTTCTAGACCACAGATCGGATGCATTGGTGTCCTGTAAAGCGGCTGTTTGGGCTGTTGTGTCACTTTAGGTAAATCTATCCTGGATCCATGTTTATCTCCACATCAGCCTAATTTATTTGCAGCATGGATTCATCAAAGGTCCTGGAAACATTCTTTAGGAATTTTGGTCCATACTGTACCAACTGCATTACACAGTTTCTGTAGATTTGTCTAGAGTCTTGGTTCTCAACTGGTAGGTCGGGACCCAAAAGTGGGTTGCGACCCCGTGTTCAGTGGGTCACCGTGTGCCTTACACTTTTTCTAGGTGAGAGGCTCCTCATCCTTTCCCTACTGCAGCACTGTCCGATCTCACGACAAGAAGTTATTTAAAATATGCTGCCTGGTGCTGAGTGTCAGCTTGAGGTGGGGTGTGCTGGGCGCTAGGAAGCTCCATCCATCCCTTGCCTGACCTGTAGAGGTGCCTGGACCAGCGTGACATCACATTCTGGCTCCTAGCACCTCTACAGAGCATGCAAGGGACAAATGGATGGTAGCTCTGTCACAACCCACACTGGACCCCAGGCTGAGGATCTACTCCAATTCTCGTAAGGTAGGGAGACTGGTGGAACTTTAAAAAACAAAAAAAAATTTTTGGGCAGTGTATATGCGTGTGAGATTGTGTCTGTGGTTGTGTGTGTCTGTCAGTGTTTAAGGGAGTGCATTAGGTTGTCGTTCATTTGAATGGCACCCCAAATGCACCTCCCACCCACAGTTCAATCGCCCGCACCAGAATGCACTGTACCACAATGCGTTTCGTTGCAGTGCAACTTGGGTCACGACTTAATGACCAAGGACAAATGTGAGTCCCGAGGTTACACAGGTTAAGAACCACTGGTCTAGAGCACATTCATCCTGTCAATCCATCCAAAAGATGCTCTATTGAACTGAGATCGGGTGTACACTGGTGTACACTGATGTCGCTATTACGAAATCTTAAAGTGTAATTCCTACAGAAACCTAATTTTCCAAGTATAGTGTTCACAAGGTAGCCACATTTCCTTTTCTCATCCAATCAGGAAGCTGGGGGCCGTGTAATGACGTGGTGCCCGGCTTTCTGATTGGCCGGGAAGCTGGCTTCATGCTCCCTCGTCGCCTCATGACGAGGGAGCATTGAGCCAGCTTCCCGGTCAATCAGGAACCCGGGCTCTGCGTCATTACATAGCGCCCGGCTTCCTAATTGGCCAGAAAGCTGGGTCCATGCTTTCTCGTCACCTAGTGAGGAGAAGCCTGGCGGCGGCTTCCCTGCTAAATTGGGAAGCCGGGTGGCAAGTCTTTACACGCCGCCTGGCTTCCTTAATGGGACGTCCGGTATCGGTAAGTACCAAATAAAAAATATAGATACTTGTATTCGATACCGAAATACTGGTTTCGGTGCATCCCTACATTTAAAAAGGAGAACTATGGGGTTAAGGCTTTTCCCCATAGTTCTCCTTAGTGTAACGGGAGGACACAAACTAGCGTCCTCCCGTCACCCTAGGCTCAGTATACTGCGAGCTGTAGCTCGCGGTATACAGAGATGCCGCAGCTGAAGCGGATCCCGACAATTATGTCTGGATCCGCCCAGCTGCGTGAGTGACAACTGGCTCTACCTATCTAGAGGCAGAGCCAGCTGTATCCGCCTCTTCCCCCGTCCGTTCCGCCAGTCAGCGCTGGCGGATCGGAGCAGGGAATCCAGCCACTCCCCTGTCACGGCAGAGATCCGTGACAGGATCGAGAGGTGAGCGAACGCCGGTATGTGTTCGCTCATTGTTACAGGTCGGCTAGAACTATGAGGTGAGTAAAAATCACTCACCTCATAGTTCTCTTTTAACCCTTGCAGTGTGTGCACGAGTGTGATGGATGGGCATTGTAAGGGTATTTTTTTAATTCCTGGAGTCAAGCTTTAAAATACTAAAACATATTGCAATAAACAAACTATAGATTACCTGAAAACAAATAAAAATCTAAATGTATATCTTTGTATACTTATCCATCCACAGGACTAATAGGATCTACAACAGTCTCTTCTCCCCCAGACACTCCTTGTTAAAACTACCACACCATAAAAACAGTTTAAATGATGCGGAGTTGTCTTGGAAACTCACATTGACAAAGTCTCCTCCTTGGATCATGAAGTCTTTTATTACCCTGCAGGGAACAATAAATAGAGGATGTAGTAAAAGTATCAGCTGGCACAATTGGCGACTACATTCGAGGTCAGAAATCAATGCCATCGCAGCCCAGCAAACGCTTCATAGAAGCCGTACAAAGGGATCCTGCTCAACCGCCGTACAAAGGGATCCTGCTCAACCGCCGTACATGTGATATCTTTGCACGTTTCCTGCAATGCATGTGACCTAATTTAAGGCCCAGGCCCACTTCTGCAGTTTAAAAGGCTGTTAAAACATACGTTTTTGTTTTTTCATCTATTTTTTTCCTCCAAGCACATCAGGCAATTAATTTTCAAAGCTTAAAGTAATATTAAAGTCAAAAGGTTTTTAAGCTATTTCAAATACTGATAAAATCACTTCCAATGGATGTTGCTCCTTGATGTTTAAAAGTTTTAGTTTCCTGCAGAATCAGCTGGTGCCCTGAGCACTGGCCCCAATATCCTGTTTTAGGGTAACTCCTTTCCCTTGCATTGTCCTATGGAGCCATCCTTGTGCGTGCTAGTAGGCCGTTTCTTTCCACAAAACACACAGGTACAGCAGGGCATCTCATCTCAGGTATTTAAACCTGAAAATTAATTAAAAAAACCAGGGAAATTAAGTGGGATTCCCCCCCCCCCCAAAAAAAAGCCAAGGGTTAAAGAAAAAATATTCCCCCCCCCCCCAAAAAAAATGCAAGGGTTAAATGCTCATTTCTGCCTAGTGTTCCAGTAAAGAGCACATTTACTTAATCTAATCTTTTGTTTGCACTGGCTCCTCCTTCCTTGCAACTGGTGTCCCGCAGCCTCTTCTCTTCAGCTCGCTGGCCTGCGGTCTTCCATTGTACGCCCCACTACACTTCAAGGGTATTTTTTGGTTCATGTTCCTGGAGTTCAGCCTTCTGTTTCCCTTTACCACTTCCAATGTCAAAAGGCTTTTACAACATTGTCTACTGCTCTAATAGTGATGCCGCCCCATGCCCCCTACTATTCTAGAGTGGGAACAATTACTGAAGTGATGAGAAATGGGGAGCTAGAAACCCAAAACGGGGAGAACTGTGAAAGGTTTCATCATATGTGGTCTCTATGGCTCTCCTTCCATTATATGCTGCTATGGTTCTAATTTAATGCTAAAATCCAGGCAGATAGAAAAGATACCGTGTAATCATTATTACACAGGGGTGCGGAAAACCTATCGCCTGACTCCTGGGATATGCAATTTCTGGCACAGGGTGGGTGTTTTTTTTTTCTTCTACATTTAGCCCCAGCTTCGGGCAAACAGGACTAAATGTAGAGGGGGAGCCATTTTGTACAAGTGATCTTGAGCGGCTGTACAGCCTCCCAAGATAACTGTAAGCAGTCTGATTGTCCATCCCCTCCCATCCCTGAACACCGCCTCTATCCCCGTCCGTCACCTCTCTGCCCACTGTGGTTTTCGGGGTCCCCCGCTCTTCTGGGGGACCCAAGACCACTGCAAATTACATCAGGATGGAGAGCGGGGAGCAGAGCGGAGAACGTCAGTTCTCCGCTCTGCTCCGTGTGAACCTTGAGACTGGAGAGCTGTCACAGGAAATTGTGCTAGGACTACTGTACTGGAAGGGATAGGTTCCCTAAAGAGAACCTGTCAGCTCCGAACGCTATCACACAGGGGCTTGTTAGTTGTGCAATAGCAATATATTTAAGTGAAAAAATTAATTTAAAAAAAGTTAAAATACAAAATGTAAAAAAAAGTGATAATAATTAAAGGAGTTAAAATTAAAACAAAAGTGATAAAAAAAAGTAAAAAATGAATAATTAAAAAAGTAATACAAATTAAAATAAAAAGTGATACTAAACACATACAGAAAAATACAAATTAGGCAAAACCTCCTTAAAGCTCTTTATAAAACAACATTTCTTAGAGTAGAACTGAAGCCTATTTTTTTTAAGCTTTGGAGGGCTATAACCCGTCAGCTCTTTCTTTGCCGTTTGTGTCCTACTGGGGAGATTTCCTTTCACTTCCTGTCCAATAGCTACAACAGGAAATGAGAGGAAATCACTATAAAGTGGGGGAAATTCCATCTTGGCCATGCCCGCGCATGTGTTCTGCAATCCCATTCACTTCTACAGATGTCCAAGTTCGTAGCCACAAGTCCAAAGTCACTGAACTGGAGATCAAAAACTCAGTATATTGAGCCTCATCTGTCCATCCACAGCCATATTAATAGAAGACAACACCGAGTTTACTAATTCCAATATGGGATGAAGGGTGTAGATGGGCGAGGGGCGGTTTATGGTGGGCAGGGGAGATAGTTGAAAGTTACACAGTAGATAAAGGATACATACCTGAACTCCCCGGTGCAAAACTGCCTGAAAAGAGAGGAAAGATACACGTTACAGTAAATGGTCACAATTTATATAAATTTGTCCAGCAGTCAACCATACGGGCCCGTTCAATTCCAGTGCGTTATAGCACGGTAAGCTGCTGGAACGCACTGGATCACATACCGTTAGGCTTCCTGCCCACGTTCCGATCACGAAAAACAGTGCATGCACTATTTTTTGCTAACGCACCAAACCTGTGCCACACTTTCTGCTGCGGGTGATGGCACTACCGGCGGGGAGCCGTGGCTGCGGTACCATTGACTTAAATGCAGTGCCACGCCCAACCAACCCCAGACTGCAGAGAGCCTTACAGTATGCGATCCAGTGCGTTCCAGCAGCTAACTGTGCCGGAACGCATTGGAATTGGTGCAAACGAGCTCTTAAAGGAGAACTATGGGGTTAAGGCTTTTCCCCATAGTTCTCCTTAGGGTAACGGGAGGACACAAACTAGCGTCCTCCCGTCACCCTAGGCTCAGTATACCGCGAGCTGCTGCTCGCGGTATACTGAGACGCTGAAGCGGATCCCTACAACTATGACGGCTGCGTGACTGACAGCTGGCTTGCCTATCTAGAGGCAGAGAAGCTGTACCCGCCCCTCCCCCGTCCGTTCCGCCAGTCAGCGCTGGAGGATCAGACAGGGGAGGGGAATCCCTGCAGGGAGCCGTTAATGACAGTCACGGCTCTCTGCAGGGACATGATCGAGAAGTGAGCGAGCGACGGTACGCGTTCGTTCACTTCCCGATCTATTGAGCCGACGTGTGAGTTTCATTGTCACGCGTCGGCTCGAACTATGAGGATGAGTGATTTTCACTCACCTTAAAAGAGAAGCTGATTGGTTGTCGTGCAAAGCTCCTCCAGTTTTTGTCTGCACCAGTTTTGATAAATTCCTCCCCCACTGTGTCTATGCTTGAGTGGTCTTTGAAGTTCCCAGCCAACCACAGCGTATAGTCCAAAGAAAAGTCAGAATCAGGAAAAAGTCATTTCTGAGTTTTACCTGAAATTTTCAGCTGTTTTGGGAATGACATCTGCAAAGAGCTCCACCTTCATCCGTCCAACTTCCTGAAAGTAAAACAAAATCAACATGAGGGTATTAGTCTTTAAATAATAAAAAACAAACCGACATTACAATCTGGATATGGCAGTCAGACATTGCACCGACAGCCTCCAGTGTTATAGCTTTGCCTCTACTTCTCTGTTACAAAAGTTGTCCAGGTTGCCTAAACAGGATCCAGAAGTAGATCCAGTGCACTCAGTAATCAGCTCTCAGGAACAGAACTGGTCAGACAATACAAGTCTGTGTGAGGGTGCTTGTGAGGGGTCTGGCTGTTACTAAGCTCTGCCTGCACAAAGCACTGACACGGGAGGGCAGGGAGCTGAATATGCAGTGGGAGAAAAGGGTATTTTATGGCAGTTTTAAGCAAAAATCAGTCACAAATCATAACAGGCAGAGGAGTCCCGTTTCCATTGACCAACAGGGAATTATGGGGACTCCCCCTGTACTGAAAGGGGGATCCGTCCTGCAGAAATTGAGACACTTGGCAACTGTCACATCAGGTTCATTTATGACAGGTTCCCTTTAAAGCTAAATGAACTTTGTTAAAACAACAAAATTTTTTTTTTGTGGATTAAAACAAAAACATGTGCAGAGTGCTGAGAAGAAGAGCCTGTCCCCTGCCAGCATGCTGCGGGAAAGGACCCTTGCTCTGTGTGGAAGCAGTGGTCTCTCTGCAAGTGTCCAACATGCCCCCTGCTGAGTCAGAGCCAAAGTTTTACAACCAGTTGGGAGCATGAGCACCGTAGATTGCTGAATTAGAGGTCTGACTCAGCAGGGGACATGTTGGACCTGTGCAGAGAGGCCACTGCTTCCCCACAGAGAGTAAGGGTCCTTCTGTACAGCATGCTGGCAGGGGACAGACTTTTCTACACAGGCTGTGGCTGCTTTCTAAAAGAAACAAACTGTCAGACTTTGTTCCGCTTTTGTTCTGATGCTCCTGCAATGTAAACTGCAGTTCAGCTTGGCTTTATCATATGTGTATTGAAGCTGCTGCAATTCACACCAAAGCAGAAACGGCCCCATCGGTTATTGTATTGGGACAGCGTGCCCCCAGCCACAAGCATGCACTGCATGGAGTACACTGCCGGCAAAGTGAGACTGAATGGGCTGCTGTGTGCCTGCCAGGGTCTGCACACGTGACTCCAGGATGGAGAAGCCGGATATCTGCAGGTCCGTCCAATACAAGATACAGGGCGAGTACCGGACCCGGAGCTTCAGCCCCATATATCAAAAAATTACCTGCCCCCCGATACTGACATCGAAGAAGACGATGGGGTTATTGGGGTTAGAAGCCGGGACCGCCATGTCTGTCGCTGGCAGAGATGAAAGCCCACACGCTGTGTAACGTCACTTCCGTTCCGAGCAAAGACTGCGCATGTGCAATGCTTGAGCCAGGAAGCAGCGGAGCTCAGGGCGACTCCATGTGGCCAGATAGCCTAATTGTTCAGTGATTTCCCAGATCAAAGATGTGATCGCTTTTATCGATTATAAAAATGTACACGATGTATATTTAGGAACGGTGCGGTATTGTTTGGGCTTTCAAAGTAAAGTCAGCCTGCTTGATTTGCATACTTCTGTTCTTCAGAGCATTGAAGCTGGAGGACCACGACGGCAGCAAGGGGACTATTATTTTGAAATGCTGGCAGGAGGGTTGCTAGTTTTATGAAGGGACATGGAGCACCTGGAGGGGAATGATGAAGCAAAGCATGCAACTGTGTATGGTAGATGTGGCTGAACTGCCAAACCAGTTGAAGGCGCATGGTCATCTAAATCCTGAGCCTACTCTGCACAGGGTCTGACGTAATGTATAGAGGTCAAGTAATACATAGAGTTCAAGGGTCAGGAGTAAGTAACACATAGAGTTCAAGGGTCAGGAGTAAGTAATGCATAGAGTGCACCGATATCGTTTTTTCTGTATCGCGTACCGATATTTTTTTTCTGCTACTTACCTATACCAGAGGTCCCATTAAGGAAGCCAGGCGGTGTGTAATGACTCGCCATCTGGCTTCCTAAATAGCCGGGAAGCAGGTAAAGACTTGTCCCCCGGCTGCCTGATAAGCAGGGAAGCCGCCTCCATGCTTCTTGTCACTAGGTGACAAGAAGGCATTGAGCCAGCTTATTGGCCAATCAGAAAGCCGGGTGCCACGTAATGACGCAGAGTCCGGCTTCCTGATACTGGAAGCTCAAGTATCGGGCTAGGTATCGCAGCATTTGGGCGAGTACAAGTACTCGTCCAAATACTCGCCAACAATACCGATACTAGTGTCGGTATCGGTGCATCCCTAGTCAGGAGTAAGTAATGCATAGAGTGCAGGAGTAAGTAACGCACAGAGTTCAGGGGCCAGGAGTAAGTAACGCATAGAGTGCAGGGGCCAGGAGTAAGTAACGCATAGAGTGCAGGGGCCAGGTGTAAGTAACTCATAGAGTGCAGGAGTAAGTAACGCATAGTCTTCAGGGGTCAGAAGTAAAGCATAGAGTTTAGAGGCCAGGAGTGAATAATACACACAGTTCACGGTATAGGAGTAAGTAACACACAGGGGTCATGAGTAAGTAACGCACAGAGTTCAGGGGCCAGGAGTAAGTAACGCATAGAGTGCAGGGGCCAGGTGTAAGTAACTCATAGAGTGCAGGAGTAAGTAACGCATAGTCTTCAGGGGTCAGAAGTAAAGCATAGAGTTTAGAGGCCAGGAGTGAATAATACACACAGTTCACGGTATAGGAGTAAGTAACACACAGGGGTCATGAGTAAGTAACGCACAGAGTTCAGGGGCCAGGAGTAAGTAACGCATAGAGTGCAGGGGCCAGGTGTAAGTAACTCATAGAGTGCAGGAGTAAGTAACGCATAGTCTTCAGGGGTCAGAAGTAAAGCATAGAGTTTAGAGGCCAGGAGTGAATAATACACACAGTTCACGGTATAGGAGTAAGTAACACACAGGGGTCATGAGTAAGTAACGCATAGAGTGCAGAGGTCAGGAGTGAGTAATACACAGTTCAGGAGAAAGTATCGCACAGAGTTCATGGGTTCAGGAGTAAGTAACGCATAGAGTGCAGGGGTCAGGAGTAAGTAATGCAACTTGCAGGGGTCAGGAGCAAGAAATGCACAAAGTGCAGGGGTTAGGAATAAAAAGCACAGAGTGCAGGGGAAAGGAGTAAGTATTGTGCAAAGATCAGGTGTAAGTATCATGCAGAGGTCAGGAGTAAATAACACATAGGGAAGTATTCCTGTGTTTCTAAAATCTCTCTTCAAAGGCCCATAGAGAGCACACATTACCATTGACCTCAGACTGATAAGAGTGACAATATCAGGGTCACATCAATCTGCCCATAGGTGTGCGAGACAGGGGACTCCATACCTGCTATACACACCAGGCCAGACATACTTCACACAAAGGCTCCAGGAGACAAAAGAAGCCGGGCACTAGGAACACTGCTCCTCTGTAATATGATAAACATGTCTGTTATGCAGGCTTCTGCTTCTACCCGGGCTGTCTGACCTGTTGCACAGAGCCAAGGGAAGTCCTTTGAAACTCCTCAGCTCTGTTCAACAGGTTTGATGGATGAGGTCAGAATCTGGCAGCTGCATTAGAGACACACTGAAGAAGAAACATGCGTGGGGGTAGAGGGGGCGCAGCATCGGGAGCAGCAGAACTATGCAGGCACTGTTGGCCAGTAGACCAATAAGCTTGTAACGGCACTGAATGCTTACCCTCTCACCATGTGAAGTGGAGTGCAGCTTCTGCCACTATGTGCTTGTACACCTTATCAAACCCAGTACATGCCCTGAGAACCCAAACACATGTTTAAAAACTGGCACTGTACCAGGTAAAATGGCCCAAGAGTAAGAAGCAGAAACCAAAGAGCTTAAAGGCCATCTCCAGATTAATGTTCAAAATACAGACTGGTCCCCGAGCAAAAAAAAAACTTGGGCTGCAATACTCACTTTCAATCCAGAGCTGTCTCCTGCAGTACTGCTTTTTGGCCACTAGATGCCCTCAGGCTTTCAGGGTAACTGATGTCCCGTGTCAATCCAGGAGACTGAGGCCATACTGTGAATGAAGGTGTCATTGGGCTGTCCCTTAATAGGGTGTCACTACGGCGCTGACGTCAGGAAGAGGAGCCTGCATGCCATGTGACTAACCAGAAGACGTAAGAAAAAGTTTGGTATTTAAAATAATTATAACAAAGACACTTGGGGGATGACACTGGCGTACCCAGGAAGGGGGGGGGGTAATTTGTTGGGGGAGCTGCAAATAATGAAAATAATTTTGAATGATAACTATATACACTTGCATAGCATTATGTGTAGCAGAATAAATCCATTCACAATTTATTCTCTTCTGTTCTAGAGAAATGTCAAAAATTACATGAAAGGAAAGCCCTTTGCCGAAACCCGGGATCGAACCAGGGACCTTTAGATCTTCAGTCTAACGCTCTCCCAACTGAGCTATTTCGGCACGTGAGTAAAAGGGGTGGGACTGTATCTTGTTGTGTCACTGATCTGTGACTGTACAACGAGTCTCATATCTGTGACCATAAAAATGTTATTTGCAGAAGTTCCTTACAGCATGCAATAGTACTGGATATGCCTTACAAAGAGTAAATACTTCATCAATGTGAAATCATTTTGTAACATTATACTGATGTTGTCAAATATATTATATTTCATTTGATTTTCCCATCTCACATGCAGTTGCATGCAGACACGTAGGTATTCCTTCTTGTGGTCATGTACATGTTATGGTTTGGTTTGCATTCTTCATTGGCTGCTGTAGGAGCATAACAAGAAACACCCAGAAGTGTATCATTTTGTCAGACAATAATCATTTTATAATCTCACCTAGCCTGTCCTGCAAGAAAAAATCAAGGGTAAACCACGCGGGTTTTTGGATCGCATTGCCAGATGTGTAAGCAAAATGACATCAGTGCAATTGGAAAGTGCCGCCCTAGGCAAACGACTTGTTTGCCTTGCAGTTAATACGCCCCTGGCCCTCGGGGCGGTCAAGGAAGGGCCCTATCTCTTCGGGAGATGGACCATTTAGCCACACCCTTGTGCACTTTTTGTGTGTGTTTCACACGCACTTATTTTGTTCACTTTTGGGTGTTTGATTGCATGCACCTCAGGCTTAAAAAAGAACTATTAACAAAAACGATAGACTATAACTTCAATACAAATGAGTAAACTAAACGCGAGATTGTAGTCCATCCCAGGAGTGAGCTTGGAGCGGTGGCTACTTTACAACACACACAGGGACCATGGAGAACAAAAGTAGCCCCCCTCCAGAAGGAAGGACAGTGTCCGCACCAATTCAGAGATGATTGGAGGATCTACAGCCGAGTGATACACAAATAAGATACATTGAGGGGAATTTATCAAAACTGGAGCAGCTGTGCATGTCAACCAATCAGCTTCTCTCTTTCATTTTCAAATCTTCACTGAGCAAACTGAAGGGAGAAGCTGATTGGTTGCCATGGGCAACTGCTACAGAATCGGTCTGCTCCAGTTTTGACACATTTCCCTTATTGTTGTTAACAGTTAAGTTATTTGAATGTATTTTTAAGATTTAATGTCTGAGTTTAGTGTCCCTTTAAAGTGTATATGAACCCCAACAATAAATGTTTTATTTGCTCTTTTGGCCTTATAAATATTCAGTTAAAAGCATTTTATATCTTTCTCTACAAGTGCAAAACTGCCGAAAATCCAGTGTTGTCCTGTGCATGCTGCAGCGAAATCTCAAACAATGTTATCGGGAAGTGTGTAAGGACTACAGAACACCCCTCCATGTCATGGAGAAGAGGATAGGGGTGATTGTTATGTAGTCCTAGTATACTGCCTGCCCTAAGGTGACAAAACTGCCCCTTCAAGGATACAGTACAGTTGTACAGTAAGTGAGTGAGTGAGTGTTGTCACCCTAATGCAGTAGGCGTATTACTGGCAGAATCATTAGTTGAAAATAAAGAAAGGTAAGACTGAAATAAAAAAAAAAAAAAATTCATCCATCAAATCTAAGGAGTGGTAAGCTGCACAATATTACAATTTGTTTTGAGAGGCCAAGAGTAAGTCACTTTAATATTATATGAGTCCTGTGACAATTGTAGAGATCTATGTAAACAGTGGAGAGGAATGGACACCAATGAATGAAAAACACAACCCTGAGTGTAACACTGGCCTCAGCAGTACTCCAGAGTATATGTTTCTCTATACAAACAGCCGAGTTATAGTCATTACTTACAGAGATTGAGTGGTTTCTGTAAGGTAGTGTGGCCGAGCGGTCTAAGGCGCTGGATTTAGGCTCCAGTCTCTCTGGAGGCGTGGGTTCGAATCCCACCACTGCCAGGATTTTAAATAATCATATTGTAATTATTGACAGCACAGGATAAGGAGTAATTGTACTTTGACTGTAATTCAGAATATTCCGTCATCAACTAAATGAATTACAATTGAAGTCAAAATGATTATTTTGTAATAGGGAGCGTTATAACCCCTGTCAGTTTTTTTCCCTTTTTTTGGCAAGATTTTCCTTTACTTTCCGTCTGATAGCTACAACAGGAAGTGAGAGGAAATCCCTGGTGGTCAGCAGGGTGAACAGAACTAGTGGATCTATCCCTGCTCCTATAGACATAGTTTGAAATCATACCGTATACCCAGTGGCCAAAAACAATAAAAACTCCTGTACAGGCTTTGTGTTGGATCAATGTGGGTCCTGGTAACATCTGCTATACCTAATGGTAGTGATTCCATAGATATCCTGAGGTGTATCAGTGGGGAATATACTGAAGGTGCCCATACACCTTCCAACCATCACACAACATTTTTCGTACGATGATCGAACCGTCATACGATTTTCATACAGCTGCCCCATCATGCACAAACCATTGAGGATTTCAATTGGCGTTCGTAAGCAATATCACGCGGCCGAATGTCGTCGATTGACAGATCGGATTTTTGTTTGTGCATAAGCAGTGTTCTTGCTTCAATTTTTTCAGAAGGATGAGGCACTGCGTGTAATGCAGAAGCATGGGGCACTGCGTGTAATGCAGAAGGAAGGGGCACTGCGTGTAATGCAGAAGGATGAGGCACTGCGTAATAATGCAGAAGGAAGGGGCACTGCGTGTAATGCAGAAGGATGGGGCACTGCGTGTAATATAGAAGGAAGGGGCACTGCGTGTAATGCAGAAGGATGGGGCACTGCGTGTAATACAGAAGGATGGGGCACTGCGTGTAATATAGAAGGAAGGGGCACTGCGTGTAATGCAGAAGGATGGGGCACTGCGTGTAATATAGAAGGAAGGGGCACTGCGTGTAATGCAGAAGGATGGGGCACTGTGTGTAATGCAGAAGGATGGGGCACTGCGTGTAATGCAGAAGGATGGGGCACTGCGTGTAATGCTGAAGGAAGGGGCACTGCGTGTAATGCAGAAGGAAGTGGCACTGCGTGTAATGCAGAAGGAAGGGGCACTGCGTGTAATGCAGAAGGAAGGGGCACTGCGTGTAATGCAGAAGGAAGGGGCACTGCGTGTAATGCAGAAGGATGGGGCACTGTGTGTAATGCAGAAGGAAGGGGCATTGCGTGTAATGTAGAAGGACCGGGCACTGCAAGTAATGCAGAAGGATGGGGCACTGGGTGTAATGTAGAAGGAAGGGGCATTGCGTGTAATGTAGAAGGACCGGGCACTGCAAGTAATGCAGAAGGATGGGGCACTGCGTGTAATGTAGAAGGATGAGACACTGTGTGTAATGCAGAGGGATGAGGCACTGCGTGTAATGCAGAAGGATGGGGCACTGCGTGTAATGCAGAAGGATGGGGCACTGCGTGTAATGCAAAAGGAAGGGGCACTGCGTGTAATGCAGAAGGATGGGGCACTGCGTGTAATGCAGAAGGATGAGGCACTGCGTGTAATGCAGAAGGAAGGGGCACTGTGTGTAATGCAGAAGGAAGGGGCATTGCGTGTAATGTAGAAGGACCGGGCACTGCAAGTAATGCAGAAGGATGAGGCACTGCGTGTCATCCGGAAGGATGAGGCACTACGTGTAATTCAGAAGGTTGAGGTATTATGCGTAATGCAGTAGGATGGAGCACTGCGTGTAATGTAGAAGGATGAGACACTGTGTGTAATGCAGAGGGATGAGGCACTGCGTGTAATGCAGAAGGAAGGGGCACTGTGTGTAATGCAGAAGGAAGGGGCATTGCGTGTAATGTAGAAGGACCGGGCACTGCAAGTAATGCAGAAGGATGAGGCACTGCGTGTCATCCGGAAGGATGAGGCACTACGTGTAATTCAGAAGGTTGAGGTATTATGCGTAATGCAGTAGGATGGAGCACTGCGTGTAATGTAGAAGGATGAGACACTGTGTGTAATGCAGAGGGATGAGGCACTGCGTGTAATGCAGAAGGAAGGGGCACTGTGTGTAATGCAGAAGGAAGGGGCATTGCGTGTAATGTAGAAGGACCGGGCACTGCAAGTAATGCAGAAGGATGAGGCACTGCGTGTCATCCGGAAGGATGAGGCACTACGTGTAATTCAGAAGGTTGAGGTATTATGCGTAATGCAGTAGGATGGAGCACTGCGTGTAATGTAGAAGGATGAGACACTGTGTGTAATGCAGAGGGATGAGGCACTGCGTGTAATGCAGAAGGATGGGGCACTGCGTGTAATGCAGAGGGATGAGGCACTGGCACTGCGTGTAATGCAGAGGGATGAGGCACTGCGTCTAATGTAGAAGGATGAGGCACTGCGTGTCATGCATAAGGATGAGGCACTTTGTGTAATGCAGAGGGATGAGGCACTGCGTGTCATGCAGGAGGAGGAATAAGCAATCAACTTCAATAGACACTTCAACACATGGTGGGGAGGAGACAGAGAAACCAGTGAATGTGAGGGGTCTGACATTGGGATCAAGTGATTCTCACATGGCCAGAAAAAAATACAACTCCACAATTCTTCCAGGATGTGTTTTTTTTTATGAGGGGGAAGGAAGAATCATCACATCCACATCACTTCCTGCTCCATAAAGTAGGACAGGAGTGCTTTATGTAGGCTGCCATGAATAGGATTGGCTCATGTATGCTGTATTATCCATTCTACTTCCTCCCTTCATTACTTTCACCAAAAAAACAAACAGAAAAAAAAAGTCAATCCTTTCAACTGCATTAGAAACAATAAATTGATTTAATGGTTTGCCGAAACCCGGGATCGAACCAGGGACCTTTAGATCTTCAGTCTAACGCTCTCCCAACTGAGCTATTTCGGCCACATGAGAGATAGCTGTCTGAATTATGTCACAAGGGTCATGTGAACAGGTCATTGAGATTATACTTGTGGAGGACTTTATCCTCTATTTATTAGGCATAATATTTTATTACATCTTAAAAGGACAACCGTACCTTTAGCAGAAATTGTTCTTTAATGAATCCCCCCCCAAGTGCAGCCCAGCTGGTTACATATTGATCTTTCTCTCTGTCCCAGAGATTTATGGCCCCATTCATTGCTATGGGAGAACTGAAGGCCACAGTGAGTACACTTCTCCCATAGGGATACATGAGGCCATGACACATGTGGAGGGGACATTTGTGAAGGAAAGTGTGTGTGTGTGTGTGTAAATATATAACCAGGTGGACTGCACTCTGGGGGATGGGGGATTTATTAAAGAACCGATCTATAAGGGTACAGTTGTTCTTTAACATACCACATACTATTTTATTTCCACTCTCATGATAATAAATGTATAATTATACAAGAAAAGTTTTGTACACTTTAGTATGCCCAGACAAAACTATTTTCCTTTGTTTTGGATAGCGTGAGGAAGCGTTATAACTAGGGATGCACCAATACCATTTTTTCCCAGACCGAGTACGAGTACTGATACTTTTCCTCAAGTACTTGCCAATACCTTAATTTGCGATTGTTTTGTTAGGTGATGCTCCAGTTTCAGACAGCCGCAGGACAAGCGCAGATGTAAAAAGTTGCAAACTTTTGCCAAACAGGTGCAATCGGGGAAAAAAGTGCAAGCTCTGGTCAAAACAGGCACACATGTAAAAAGGAGCGGCTACACAGATTTGCACATTTTTAAAAATTATCTAAGAGGCTAAAACTGTTGCAATTGCTTTGATAAATTCCCCCCATTATGTTTGTGCTTTGGAAACAGTTTTTGTTTGCCCCCCCCCCCTATTTATAACATGATAAGCAGACATGAGCATTCGGATTTCGACGTTCCTGCAAATCATCGAAATTCAGTTGATTTGGCGGTTCATCCGAAATAACAAATTCATTATATGCCCCAATATACAAAAACTATATACGGGCAGAAATGAATTTGCAGAATGCGCGGCGGACCGCCATCTTTGATTATCTCTTGGTATACACCAAGTTTGCGGCGGTCGAACATACCAAGTACCAAGATACACTCGGCGCACAAGTGCAGAACAAGCCAGCAGCCGATATGGCCGCCGCTCGTTCTGCAGTTTCAGTGTGCGGTTTCGGATTCGGAGGCTCGTCGCTTCCGAAACAGCAGAACAATTCGTTTTCTTTGATGATCTTATGGAAACGACTTTCGCTTTCATTTGTTTCGTCAGAAAACAAATTTTGTTGCCGTGCACATGTGTAATGATAAGTTATATTCAAAGACATCCTAAAATGATACATTGATGGATTATAAACAGGAAGAAGACAAAGCATTCTTCATAAAATCTTTTATAATCTAACAAAAATACAAACATTAGCAGTCATATTATGTTTACATGGTGGAGTCGTTTGTGACGTCTCAACCTCACTGTGCAATTAGCAGCATGAAATAAACACTTTTAAAGGGAAGGCACCTAATTCAGTCCAGGAAGAGCTACATAGTGGTCATTCTTACTATGAACAGTCAGTTCCTCGTAGTAAAACATTACAAGTAGTTTTATACATCGTTGATGCTTGGCTCCGGTGCTCCACAGTCCTCTGAGGCTGCAATGATGACCTTAGGGGAAGGGACATTAAGATATCCAACTTCTGATGTATCAGAGCGGGATACTGGAAGGGGCAAAGAGCTTTCTGGCGATCGCTCCACATTTCCTTCTTCAGTAACTTTAATCACGGGAGAGCTCTGGTGTGCCGCTTCTGAAAAGCTGGGAAGAAAAGAAACCAAAATGAATAGATTTTGCGGATTACATTTTTGCATGCATCCACTCAGCGAGTCTGGAAATGCATTGTTTTCACAAGCGGTCAAGAGAATAAAAAGTATGTATACACAGGGCGTCCCGAGGCCGGGTGTCATCCGGAGCGGAGATGGGGGTGACACCCCGCCGTGACGTCATTGCGCATGAGCGCTCATCTAATTGACACCAGCCGGCAGCCATCTTAGTAATGGACGCCGGCAGAGGGAGGAGGGGACGTTCACCCGGCGGGATGAGTTATGCTCTCCCTCCTCTCTCCTGACACTGTCGGGCTCTCGGTCCATGACCTGAGTGCCCGACTTTTCATAGGGGGTGGCACCAAAATGACTGTCAGTCATTTTGGTGTCACCCCTCCAATAGTGTCACCCGGGTGCGGGCCGCACCCACCTTGTGACGCCACTGTGTATACAAGGTACATTCGGGGGGGGGATGGTGAAATTGGGCTTTAAAATGCTGTCAATTCTGATGAAAGCAGTAGAGGCAACGTGTCTGCATAGAAATGCATCATGTTAACACAATCGTCTCTTCAGGTCTCTTCCCTTTCTTCATACAAATCGTCAGTGCCGGGTTTATAAGGGGGCAAAAGTGACAAATGACCTGGACCTCCTGCCAGAAAGCCCCCCATACAAAAGTATGTTACATAAAATATGAGTTTATTTTATTAAAATGTATCTTTGTTAGTAATATTATGGAGAATCATCTATAAAAGTTTCAGAATTATCTGAGAACCATGTTGAGCCATGAAAGTCTAAGGCTCCATTCACACCCGAGCGGCTGTCCGCGCGTATTGGGCTGTACAGATACGCAGGGAGCCACTCTACACAAGGAATTCAATGCACTTCAATGTGTATCGTTCAGACCATTGTGGGGGCCGCACGGTACAAGACTGCGCAGACCACCGAAATAGTCCAAGAGCGATAATCCGGCGGATTCCGCACGTTCGCGGCTATTTAGTAATCGCAAACGAGCAGCATCCGTGCGGATTTAAAAATATGAGAGTTTTCGTCCGCACAGTCTTCCACACGGAAAACCACGCGGGAACCGCAAACGCCATGCGTGAATACAGCCTTAGACCCCGTTCACAACGGGGCGATTTCGCTGCGCGGAAAAACACATGCAAATAAAATCCCATACATTCCAATAGAGGCCGTTCACGCAAATGCGCGTACAAATACGCCTGTCACTTGAAATAGTCCCTAAACTTCTTTTGTGGCGCTCTTAACTCGTTTTTCTTCATAGACTACAATGGAAACATGCTGATCAGCGCATTTTTGCATGATTTCACGCGGTTTTTATGCGCGTTTCAGCAGCTGAGCTTGCCTCTCATTGAACAACTGAAAATGAGCTTCAAAAAGGCGGTGACATATGAACAGAAAACCGCTGTAATATGCAAAAACATGCGGAAAAGAACCCCGCAAAAACAGCGCTGAAACACCGTTGCCCTGGTGTGAAGGGGGCCTCAAGGGTTGAGTTACTAAAGGCAAATAGACGGTTCACTTTGCAAGGGAATTGTCTCTTTGCTTAGTGAATGAGGTAAAGCTCTGCTGAGTTCCATCACCCAATCATGTGAGAGCAAAATGACGTTTAAAAAAAAAATATTTTCCTTGCACACGATCAGGGGCGTCCCGAGGCTGGGTGACACCCGGGGCGGTAACCGAGTGTCACCCCGCCGAGACGTCACTGTGCATGCATGTTACGTCACCACGCGCGCGATGACGTCATCGTGCACGCGCGGCAACATTCTGATACCTGCCGGTGGCCATCTTGGTGATGGACGCCGGCAGAGAGAGGAGGGGACAGTCACCCGGCGGGATAAGGTATGCCGCCGGGTCCCCTCCTCTCTCCTGATACTGTCGGGCGTTCGGCCCGACTTTTCAGAGGGGGGTGACCCCAAAATGACTGTGAGTCATTTTGGTGTCACCCCTCCAATGGTGTCACCCGGGTGCGGGCCGCACCCCCCTTGTGACACCACTGCACACGATCTAGTATTGTTTGCAAAGTGAGTTTTCACCACATTCACCGAGCTAAGGAAAAATTCCCTTCCACAGTGAGCAGCCCATTCGACTTTAGTAAATAAACCCCTAATTACTATGTACCTACTGGATTTAGAACGCAGTGTTCTCAAGGTGATGCAGTTTGAAGAGTTCATTAAAGAAATGTCAGATGCCAAGTGTATAAAGAAAGACTTATTGCAGATGTTGTAGTCAGATGTATATAGCTGTAAGTTGGTAAAATGTACTGAACTTCGCCGAGATAAAACCTGAAAATTGTGCCACGGACTGATTCAGCATTTCATTTTGTTGTGGAATTTGTCTTACCTGAAAATATACTTGGAGTTTTGCTGGCATGTATGGTACTTCGGATATAGAACCCATTCAGCCTTAATATGCATGTAGAACTTGTCAGTTTCCGTGACATGCAATAAATGGATTTTGGTGTGTAAATGCGGTGATTTGCTGTGTATTTTTATTCCAGTGTCTGGGGGTCCATTGAACCTAAAGTCCCCGGGCTCTCCAAGGACTAAATCCAGACCTGACAGTTGTACATGTTGACTGTATGCTGATCAGGGTCTACGTACACCCCTGCTGCTCACCCAGGTCTGCTGGAAGCAATACACGAAAAAGAACAGCACAGGACCATTCTGGAGATACTACAGCACGGTATGTTCGGAAAAGGTTTCTCACCTTTCATTTGGCAGATTTATCATGTCATCTGTTCTCAATAGCCAATCAGATGGAATCATCATTGCGATATCCTAAGGAAGAACGGAGGAGATGTAATCTTGTTTTGTCATTACAGGGCAGTGGATGCATGTGGGTTAAGTAGGTACCTCTAGTAGCATTAAAGAAGGACTCTGGGCAACATTTTTTATTAACCCTTGCAGTGGGGCTACCTCCCGTACTGCAAGGGTTAACTGCTCGTTTTGGTCTAGGGAGGAAAATAAAGTTATACTCACCCGATCCTCGGAGTCAGCTTGCTCTTAGACCGGTCCTTTGAGCCTCTCTCCCCCTCCGCTGCAGGTCCCCGAGTCATTACATTCTATATGTAGTGTATAGGACGCAGAGGTACATACCATCGCTGGAGCAGAGACAGGCTGCAGGGAGGGTTGTCACAGCCAGCTGGCACGGAGGATCGGGTGAGTATAACTTTGTTACTTTCCTCCGGAAAAAAAACAAGCAGTTAACCATTGCAGTGCAGGGTAGCCCATTGCAAGGGTTAATAAAATGTCCCTGGAGTTCTTTATTACTTCTTACTCCTGTATAACCTCCTCAGTGTCTTCATTCCTGTTCCTCCTGCATAGGACTGGGAAATCCCCCCCATGATTTGCAATCAGGTTCTTAAACAATCTCTTGTGGTAGACGGTAGAGCCCATGTCCTCCAGTATGAACCATCCCCTGCAGTAGTCCTGTGACTAGCCATGTGGTGTTGGCAGTAGCTTTAAAGTGACTGTCGATGGCAAAAGGAGGCTCTTCATACTTGCAACTCTGGCAAATAGGGGAGTTTAAACTTTGTTCTGTTAAAGAGCTACAGGCTCTGGCAGAATCTTTAATTTTGAAACACTTCCAGTTGTGTTGGATGCCTGCTTCCCCTGCTTTGTGCTGTGTTTCCTTCCATTGTACCCTGTGTCCTGTTGAGACATAGGGGCTGGTGGGAGCAACCCTAGTGTGTGGGGGTTGAACATTCCAAAGTGATGGATGCTGAACATTCTGCCAGAGGCTGTAGATGTTTAGCAAAGTGGAGTTGGGACTCTGTCTGCCAAAGAAGTAAGTATGAAGAGTCTTCTACTGAACGGTATTTTTATTAGAATTTCTTTCAAGTCTCATAGTGACTTTCATACATTGGCACAGAACACGAGTGTGCACAGTCCTGGACTATGCATGGTGAATCTCCATATGCTGGAAATTATCACCCTCCATAGGCATCAGCAGTCTCAACCATAATATGCTTCCTGACCTATAAGGCACATGATAGGTTTCAAACAGGACCTAGCTTCAATGAATAGGATTTAATAGGTTCCTGTGTTCCCTCTGTCCCTGGAATTGGATTGCCGGTCACTATGCACTGCATAAGCCAAGATGATTGCAAATGCTCATACAGTATGTATACATAGATAATTCTCTCAGAACTTCTTCTTTTGTCCATATACAAGTCAATAGGAATGCAAAAACAGCTCAGAAGGATGTTGCACCTGAAAGCAGGCTGCAGTGCACGTCTCTACACAGTATTGGTCAGAAGATCACCGGAACTTGCCACCCTGCGTGGCTTTGGCTTTGATGATGCATGTTCAATATAAAGGAACAAAAGTTCACACTTTGAATTTGATGAGTGCTTCTAATCAATACTTTGAGATGCACATCTGTGTAATCACTGCGAGCACCACGTCTGTGCAAGGTTATAATGATGTATGGAGTGCAGGTGATCCACTACAACACTACCGGTCTCTACAAACTTGTATAAAGATGTCTGACCTGTGTGATCAGGCTATATACACTGAATGCTGACTGTGCAGGGAGTGCAGGTGATCTACTACAACACTGCCTGTCTCTACAATCTCTTATAAAGATGTCTGACCTGTGGGATCAGTATACACTGAATGCTGACTGTGCAGGGAGTGCAGGTATTCAGTAACCTGTGTGTTTGGCCCCTAGCAGAGGAAGAGGCACCATTTGTGCTCATATGATAACCTATTGAAGTTTTTCTGAAGTAGATCGTTAGAATTTTTTTTTTTTCTAAAGCAATGTTAATATATAAAATGTTGTACATCAGGTTGCTCCAAAACGGTCTATAGGTGTAGGCGCTGCGTTCTATCCAAGCAGCACAGCAGTACCTTACAAGGCAGACTGGCTCCTATGCACTCCCAGTGGCTATGTTCAAGCATGCCAGCACTGCTGTGCTATGCAGATAGAAAGCAGCACATTACATCTGTGTAATCACTGCGAGCACCACGTCTGTGCAAGGTTATAATGATGTATGGAGTGCAGGTGATCCACTACAACACTACCGGTCTCTACAAACTTGTATAAAGATGTCTGACCTGTGTGATCAGGCTATATACACTGAATGCTGACTGTGCAGGGAGTGCAGGTGATCTACTACAACACTGCCTGTCTCTACAATCTCTTATAAAGATGTCTGACCTGTGGGATCAGTATACACTGAATGCTGACTGTGCAGGGAGTGCAGGTATTCAGTAACCTGTGTGTTTGGCCCCTAGCAGAGGAAGAGGCACCATTTGTGCTCATATGATAACCTATTGAAGTTTTTCTGAAGTAGATCGTTAGAATTTTTTTTTTTTCTAAAGCAATGTTAATATATAAAATGTTGTACATCAGGTTGCTCCAAAACGGTCTATAGGTGTAGGCGCTGCGTTCTATCCAAGCAGCACAGCAGTACCTTACAAGGCAGACTGGCTCCTATGCACTCCCAGTGGCTATGTTCAAGCATGCCAGCACTGCTGTGCTATGCAGATAGAAAGCAGCACATGCATGGAGGAACCTTATACAGTAAACTCCCCGTTATCCGGCATCCATGGGGATTGCTAGATTCCGGATAAATGTAGTTTCTGGTTAGGTGAATACCGGATAACCAAGAGTTTACTGTATAGGGCTCATTCACACGGGCAGAGAGGTCTGTGTAGCATAAAAAAATTGAAGAGTAGGCCTCTGGATGCAGACTGAGTCTAGGTACGTACATCTGTACCTGTATGCAAGTATATGCTCAGAGTAATGTTTACCAGCATACAGACACAGCTTGTCATTGATCCGTGCAGGCCGGCCAGGCGCAGAGACCTGACAATTTTGCAGTAAACGGACCTTGCCCGTGTGAACAAGCCCACAGACAACTGAGGCTGGAGACGTGTACAGCGTTTGTATAGTAACTTGCTTTTCTCGTGAAGTTTGTCGCCTGCTGGGGATTGTTGATCAATAAAAAATATGAGTCTGTAATATTTACATGTAAAAAGATAACAAAAAAAAATATTCAATAACAAATGATACAGTAAAATAATAAATAGAACAATACAAAACAAAATATTTAACAAGACAAAAAAACATTTTTATTCCCACAATAGATCCTAAAAAAAAGGACTTTGCGTTGTGATCACATAAAAATAAAAAGTCACATATTGTCGGGAATTTATCCAAAGTGAAGCAGACAGAATCTGGAGCAGCTGTGCCTGGCAAGCAATCAGCTTCTCTCTTTAGTTTGTTCAATTAAGATTTGAAAATGAAAGATAGATGCTGATTGGTTGCCATGCACCGCCGCTCCAGATTTTGTCTGCTCCAGTTTTGATAAATTCCCCCCATGCTGTATTGTCTTATTAGCGTTCTCTGGTCCTTAGAATGTTTGTATTCCCTTTGTCTGCCGAAGCAACCATATTTAAAGTGGCCTTTCCCTTTGCCCATGATGGCAAATTTTGGGTCACGCAACACCTCATCCTGTGGGGAGTTAGGCTCTTTATACCAAAACTTGCTTATCAAAGCTGAACTCCGGCCTTCCCTTCAGTCTGGCACGGTTGTACCGGCTCCTCTCCTGGACTGGAATTGCTTACTCTGATTTCACCGCACACTGCGAGCTTCTCACAATGTGCATTAGAAGCTGCAGCAATTAAGATAGAGCCCGCCTCATTTATTGGACATCCAGCATCATCTAGCTTTTTCCTTCCCAGCCTGACTGTCCCTGGCCCGCCTCTTATTCATTAGATTTCAGTCCTTTCACATGTAAAGACTCAGCATTACATGTGGACATTGCTTACAATGCAGCCTCCTCCTCCAGACTGGCGCCACTCTTTAAGGCATTTTGATATTTGCATAACTCCTCCCAAGAACCAGCCCACTGCTTGCATCAGGGTGCTGGAATGTTTTCAGGAAGCTATAGACCGCACTCTGCCGGCAACTCTAACCAGCCATAATCTGCCTGCATAGCACTGAAAGGTACAGAGACCCAGTGATGACATCACTGTGACTTAAATCAGGTATAGTTCCTGAAAATGGAAATGTTTTATTTACAAATGTCATTAGCATGTTGATGAGGGGAAAGGAGGAACCAAGGAAGGCCAAAATATAACCAGCCATGCTATCATTTTCTTAGTATATAATCTCTTCTTACACTCTTTACATCGATTCATTCTACAACGGTCATACTTACAGGAAGGTTGAGGGCCTGCAGTTTCTTTAATACGTGCTTTAGTGAGCGCATCTGGTTATAAAGCTGAAGTACGCTTTCTCTCAGCTGCTGGTTTTCATGATCTAGAAACTGACTCCTAGGATGACACAATTGGAGATAAACATGAAACTTTGTCTCTCTGCAGGAGCTTCTTGTAATACAGACCGGTCACTGCTGCTCTCTTTCCATGTGCAGGGTGACTGGTCTTGCCCCTGCCCCCCCCTGTAATACAGGCCAGTCACTGCTGCTCTCTCTCCATGTGCAGGGTGACTGGTCTTGTCTCCGCCCCCTCCTGTAATACAGACCAGTCACTGCCTCTCTCTTTCCATGTGCAGGGTGACTGGTCTTGTCTCCGCCCCCTCCTGTAATACAGACCACTCACAGCTGCTCTCTTTCCATGTGCAGGGTGACTGGTCTTGTCTCTGCCCCCCCCTGTAATACAGGCCAGTCACTGCTGCTCTCTCTCCATGTGCAGGGTGACTGGTCTTGTCTCCGCCCCCTCCTGTAATACAGGCCAGTCACTGCTGCTCTCTCTCCATGTGGCCAATTAGGAAGCCGGCTAAATCAGCATGAAGCCAGATTCACGGCCAATCAGCATCAAGCCTGCTTCCTAACCAATCAGCATGGAGTCAGCTCCCTGACCAACCAGGAAGCCGAGAGGCAGGCCATTACTCGAGAGCCAGCTGAACAGCTGGCTCCTTGCTGATTGGTTAGGAAGCAGGCTTCCTAACCAATCAGCATGGAGTCAGCTCCCTGACCAACCAGGAAGCCGAGAGGCAGGCCATTACTCGCCGGCTTCCTGATTGGCCAGGAAGCCGGCCCGATGCTGAAGGGCTGGGAAGTCAGTTTCCCGGCCAAACAACATGGAGCCGGCTTCCTGGGCAATCAAAAAGCCAGACGGGATGTCATTACCCGCTGCCCGGCTTCCTGATTGTCTGGGAAGCCGTCTCCATGCCAGCGGAAGCAACGCTATCGATACTCGACATATGAGAGTACCGAAAGCAAAATATTGGTACTCGAACTCAATATCGAAAAACCTGTATCGGTACATCCCTAGTATTGACTTATGTCTTGTGAATGATTCTGTAGTAATACACTTTAGGCCAATTCATCACTACAGTAACGCTTGGCAGTTCACCTTTATTTAAAAGAAAACCTGTTATAGGGTTTTACACGGTTTAAGAGAACCAGTCACCTCTGAACGGATCTGTAGAATACGCACGGCCGAGTGCGCTGTGTACTCTCCTATTTCAAATCCCTTTATCCTGGAGAGACAGAAAAATCTGCCGTACGGTGTGCACATGTAACCATTTTCAGTGAATTAGTTGCTAACTGGTTTCAGGGATTGTTCACACCTCCATTGCTAGAGACCTCATGTCCCTGGAACCTGTATGTGGTCAGCTCTTGCTGAAGGCCATGTACCATGTACAGGATTTTTCCAGCCAAATCAGTTAGATCCAAAGGTGGACAGGAAATTATTATGATGCCATACGTCTACCTCCCATTTTCAAACTGCTGGCCTATTCTCCATAAAATTGAAGGCACTCATTCTGTGACTGGAGCACAGAGGGGCCTTTTCTTTATCAGTGCATGGAGCTCAGATCTAAAAAGCAGGCAATGTCCTTCAATAATCTGGAATGTCTTCTACCATCTTGTGTAAGAAATGCCATACCTGTTCATTAATGAGCGCAACTTCCACTTGAGGTTGCTCACTGTAGCTTCGTGCTCACTGATTTCCAGAAGCAGCTGTCTCTTCTCTTCATGTAAATGTTCATTCACTGCGGTAATGCTGTTTATCAGCTGCTGTTCCTAAGAGAAGAAAACAAAAAGGTAACTCAAACCAATAATGGCTTCCACGAATAGAAAGACTGTGACAATAGTGAGAGCTGACAAACCCCAAATTGTGTGGGGAGAATGGGGGAGTAGTACTGAACACAGTACCACCCTTATTTTCATAATTCACTAGTCAGCAACAAAAACGGTCAGTTTGATGCTTAACCAGCAATGCTTAAGACACATTTGACGAACAGCAGACAACTTTAGAAGGAATGCAGAGGCATTATAAACTGGCTTTTGACCTCAATGGTGCGTTTTAGGCGCATCCCATCATTTTTTCATAGGTATTAATAGCAATGCATCTAAAACATGTCTCTAAAGTACAAGGTACCCACAATGCATCAAACACGGAGTCTAATAATATTGTGTGATCATTTGATCACGGATATGTATAACATTGTCAGAATTGGTGTGCCTGGAGTTCAGCCTTAAGCCTACCTTCTCTGTTTGGCTCTTGGACACACTCAGCTCCATCTCCAGCTGTTTAATGCGGTGGTCCTTCTGGTTCAGCTCATTTAAATAGATCTCCTTGGCTCGGCTGAGTTTGGCTTTATGGCGTAGTTGCATTTCATTGTATTTCCTAGTTGGATAGAAATTATGGTGTATTGTCATTAACATTTAATTAGTTATGAACTTAGCATGGGTACATGTTAAAAAACGCGCCCCCAATACAAGTGATGTAGCTCCTGTTCTAGCTGGGAATTATAAGTTTGGAAGATGGGCAGATGTATGATCTACTTTTCCCATGACAAGAGCTAAGCTCTTTATCACCTACACGTAGGTCATGGCTGTACAGTGTTTTGCACCATCTGAGATGCCACAGTTTATGGATAAAGTTGGAAGGACAAGGGATGGAATTTTCTGACAACTCAGTACATTTAAGTAATATATTAAGGACTGTTGCTCCAGGGGACCCCTTTTCAGCAGAGTCCAGAGAATGACGGCTCATAAATGGGTCTAGTGGACAGAGCTGATGTTATCATACATCTGTCCCAATATGGTGGGTTTTTTTAAGGTTTTTTATCTTAATATTGACCTGTTGATCCTGCCAGTTACATGTTTCCTGTCCTAGAGTGACAGTGCTCCCACACTGTAGTGTATCTATGGAGGAGCAGCAATGTTACCCCAGGCCGGGACTGTAGAACACCTTCCCATCTCCATAACATAGATGGAGGCGTTCTGTAGTCCACAGAAGTGAACTGGACAGGGCTGATAGTACTGTGTCTACAGGACATCACTAGATTTCTAACAGGGTCAACAGGTATTTTGTACACTTACCGAACAGATAAAACACTTTAAATGGTAGATTAAACAGACGAAAAATAAGTTAATTGTTAGGGTTTACATACATACATACATACATACATACATACACAAAAGAATGTAGACGCACAGAAGGGTGTCAAATCCCAATACCTAAAGTTCTTACTATGCACATCCTTAGCGGCCACCTTACCTGATAGAATCATCCAGCCGTTTCAGAAGAATATCATATTCCTTCAATAACTGCTCCTTCTCTTGCTGCATATCCTGCAGTTTCTCTAGAAGTTTCTGATTTGCGCTCTCACAACTTGTGCGCTGAAACACAATTCAGGGAAAAGGAAGCTAAACATTATATTGCATTCTTATGACAAGTACAGCATTGGGTCTGAGCCCTGGCTTAGTGCTGAACTCCAGACAAATATCTTTTATTATAATCTGCTGTGTAACAAAATGACCTCTGATGAGGTGTATGCCTGATCACGGGTCACTGCCCTTTCATTACAATTTACACTCTCATTTAGGCCGGATAGTATCATTTGGACTATACTGCCGGCCCACTGTGAACTACTCAGAAAATGTAAAAAATGTTCTGTGATCAGCAAAGGAGAGAGGAGGGCGGATAAACGTCACTAGGGCTTGCTGCCTTCTCTCACAGGCAATAGCAGTTTTGATAATTTTTTGCAACAAGTTTGCTTTAAAAATGTTATAATAGTATTTTATTATATTGTTTCCTTTTATTTTACATGGTTATATTTATGTTTTTTTCTCTCGACATGTACATGCAGAGTAAGCTGTCAAACAGAAGTGACTGTGAGAGGTTGCATATTTCTGAACTATAGAGAGCGATGTGACTCTTATCCACATCCCCTGCAACCTCTTTTCCACACAGTTCTCTTGCTGAATTTGCAGCACAAATGTCAAGAGGTGGATTGAAGCTATCGCAATTTGTCAAGGTTTAGTGCCCCCACTCAACCTGCTGCCCTAGGCACTGACGCACAAGTGTCATTATGGTAAACATAGTCCTGCTTTTACCACCAGTACATACCAAACCCATACCAGCAGGATTGAAAGAGTGGCTACAATAAAGACTTTTGAGAAGTGGGCTTTAGAAGACGTAAGGGTAGATCAGGAATATCAACAGGCTTTTACCATTCTCTGTCTTAGGGCAGAAAGGGCAATGCCTTGACTTAATAGCTTACAGTGGGAGGGCTTGTTATTTGATTTTTTTCGTAGCTCCCCAATATTCTAAAGCCCTGGTGCCTAGCATGTTGCCTCTTGGCACTTAATTATAATGCCCTCAGAATGCCTGCTGATGGTATGTACATAATGATAACCAATGTTCTAAAGCCATGATGCCCAGCCATGGGCCACATGACCTCTTGGCACTCAATGTGTGGCCCTCAGAGCACCTGCTGCCAGAATATACATAGTATTTTTAAGTTGAAGCACTAACGTGGAAGCATTGATTTGTAAAGGAGCTCCAAGAACAGAGACCTCTAGTGGCCTCACGTCTCCAGTCTACGAATGTCTGCCGAAGCCTATCTCCAGTCTCCAACAACTCCTTCAGCATATCTGCTGGCTGACAGTTTTCTGTAGAAGCAAAGTTGATCCTGTTCTAGAGGAGGACCTGTACTGAATTTCACCATCCAATATATGTGACAGAGGAGGAATTAGTATTGGCATTGGCACATTTACTAACCTCAGAAGTGACTGACTTTCTCTCATCATCCAGGTGCTGGAGCATTGACTGCTGCTGGTGCAGTTTAATCTGAAGGGTACAATTGCTCTCCGTCAGTGAAATCTCTTTCTCATGAAGGATTTTAATTTCTTGCTGCAACACCTCTAAGCTCTCATCCAAAACTTTCCTAGGAGGGAATAAAGAGTATGATAACCTCAATTGTAAATGACAGAAGATTAACCCTTGCTGTGAATTTTTTTTTATTCTATCTATCTAATCTATCCATCGATCTATCTATCCATCGCTCTATCCATCGATCTATCCATCTCTGACCACCAAGGGCATGTGTAGAGAGTTGCATTTTTGCCTGTGTGTGTTGTCACTGCTCCTGCTGAGGAAGTCGTAACTGAATTTTAGTTACACTGGTGATCTCCTTTGACAGATGCATTGAAACTCTGCAGAACCAGATAACAGTCAGGTTATCTATGGATCTCAGACAGACCGCAATAGCCATGGACCTAGGGTATCTGTTGTGAACACAGACACATTTAGGATACATGCATGTACTGTATGCCTCTCATTTAAGATAAATTATTTCTTTGGACAAACTGTTTATAAATGCCATTCATGGGTTGCATGTTCTTCCTGTGTTTGAGAGCCTTTCTCTGAGTGCTCCAGTTTCCTTTGTTTTGCTCTTGGGCCACATTTGAGTCTCCCTGTACCTTGAAAATTGACAATCACTGTGCTAGACCATAAAAGTACTGATTATGTTCACACATTATTAAATACAGAAAATACATAGATAGAAATCCCTTTACTCTGGATTTATATAAGTGTACAGAATAGGATCTAGTTCCTGTGCTAATAGAGCAGCCATCTACTTGCTCTAATGGTGGTGGTGGGTGGAGAAGGGGCCTTTTTGTGGGAGAGCAATACACTAAATAGGTAGTCTTGCCCTAACTCTTGCCCAAACACTGTAGATCATATTCAAGCAACCCTCCCCCTCTCACCCACATCACTTGCATGTGTGCTGAGCTATTCAATTCAGTATAACATATCTTCCTCATCACTCAGAAAAAGCTTGGTGTGGATCAGCGCTACCTGCCAAGTGCCCCCTGACCCTATTTATCAATTTCTGTTCTAGGTTGATTCACAGCCATCCATAAGAATGAATGCTGTGCTGTTCATTTTTCATTTTATAGTGCAGATGTAATAAATTACAAATGGCATACAAGGTTGTCTCGAATTTCTATTACTTTTTAAGATGTTCCTCTTGTAATTCCATTTTCACCATGGATTCCTTCTCTCTTGCCTTTTTCAGTTCTTCCTCCAGGTGGCGCTTGTCTGCTGTCTGGGTCTCCAAGAGAGTAATCTGGTGCTGCGAGGCTCGCAGTTGTTGCTGCAGTTCCGAGACCTGTAGAAGGTATCAGTGTTAGGGAGTTACAGCAAACTACTACAAAATGCAGCACACTAGTAATGATAGCACACTAGTAAAGCCATAATGATAGTACACTAGTAAAGTCATAATGATAGTAAACTTGTAATCCATAATGATAGCAAACTTGTAATCCATAATGATAGTACATTTGTAATCCATAATAACAGCACATTAACTAAGTGTGCCGTTTATAAAATTCACATATCTTATTCCTCCAAAGAAACGGCATGTCAGTTTGTACTGTATAAGGAAGCCAGCTGCTGCGAGAATGGGGCAAAAACAAATGTTCTTAGTGTAATTCCTTGGTCGAATGTTCAATAGGGAGAATGAAGCACGAGTATAAATAGAATAAATGTAACTATTGAAATCCACGTAGTATCAGTGTATACATTTATATGCTCATTCTCTGTGGTGGTGGTCTCTGAATTGTAACATTGTAACTCCTTACTAACATGTATTTATTTCCTATGTTTCTCAGCTCCATCTAGTGGCCAAAATGCAGTATTATTGCCGTTTGTGGTACTGTATGTAGTGTTACATTTTCGGTTCAGCCCATTGTGTCCTTGGTTATATAATGGCAAATAGTGCTATAAATTTTAATAGCACAAGTCCATGCCCCATAGCTATGTGGCTGCTAAGCACTCTGGTGCTTCCGGCAAGCAAGGTCATTGTGCCTCCACCAGAGCTGGAAGCTCTAAAACCTGTGAGCTCCAAGCTGATGTCACCTGTGCCTCCCGGAAGCACCAATGGCCAGGGCCAAGGTACATATTTTTCTTCTGGGCATACGGTTTGTCTTTTTAAAGCCATTTGTGTTGCAGGTGAAACAGAGAGCTGGCAAAAAAAGTTTGTTTGGCATGGAAGCTCCGCTTCAAAGCTGCATTAACACCAGCATGTTGCAGTAATACTGTGGAACCTGGAAGTGCTGGGTGCTCAAGATTCTACCAGTGGATGTAATTCACTTCTCTCGCAAGTGAATTACAAAGATGTATTCACTTGCGAGAGAATGGTAAGCACCGTCATTTGTCATTATCTTTTTTTTTAGCAACAGAGACTTTTTAATATAAAATATATTTACGGCAAGTATACTAGAAATGTATAAAAGTACAAAAGAGAATCGTAACTAGAACATATGATTTTATATTTGTCCGATTTAAAGTATTGTCTACTCCTGGTGGGCAAAACATGCTGGGACTTGATCATGGGTGTCCTTCCATCTGTTGATATCAGAGGTGAATTAGGCAGACATCGAGTAACCTGGAATGCAGCCATGGACATTCCGCAGCACATTCATACTTGCGCTATAGCATAATTAATGTATGGAGTAGACTTTTAAAATAGAAAATGATACCTATTCCCTGCGTTTATCCGCCACAGAAATATCCACCCTTCTGGCTAATAAAAGGTAGAATGTCTGCTTCTGGGTGGCCAGACTATAATGTATGTTCATTATGTAATTTCATGAATTATATCCTTTGTGATGCTGGAGATATACGGGTAGAGCTTAGTTTTAAAACGTCCCCAGGCTTCTATGCATATAGAGTTGAGGCTCCTATGAAATGTTTTAGGAGGTCATGGGTCAGTAAAATACTTGAGTTTAGCTTTACTAGTCAGAGTTGATGTTTGCTGTAAAGCAGACACCATAAGATGCCTGCTGTTACCATGAAAACACCTCTTGCCACCTTAGAATGCCCTCAAATATCCTATGCAAATACTGATTAACTACATAAAATAATTTTACATTGGGCTTAGTAGGATCCTCTCATGTGAAAGTGCTGCTCAGGTTGCCCGGGCACAGAGCACTGCATTATGGAAGCGGGATTAGTGTACAGGTACGAGCATCAGGTATTTCATGGGGTCTCTGCAGGTTCATGGGGCATTGGATTGGACCAGGAATCCCATGATATCTACATGACAGCGGCTGTAACGTTTCACATTGGCCCTGATTACAGGATTGCTTCGTGTTATTTCTCAGCCTGGATCTCATACCAGTTTTTCAGCATCCACCGCTCGGCATTTTTCATGCTCCAGTTTCTCCTGCCAGCTGTTCTGAACCTTAGAATTGCGGCTCATTTTCAGAAGCTCCAGTTCCGTCATCTTAATCTTCTGCTGCTGCTGATCCCGCTCAGCTTCCAGACTGGAGAGCATAGCAGTCACAGAGGCATACTTCTGTTTCACATGGCTTAATTCCTCGCTCACCTGGGATAGAAGTGTGAAGTGTAAGAGAAATAAACCACCAGACATAACAATTAATTAATACAGTGCACACACAAATGGCAAGAAGCCAAAATTTGATTGACCAAATAGAAAAATAGTGCGGTACATATTGGCTCTTTGTAGGATAATATTAAATAAAGATACACAGTGCCATTTTATTACATAAAACGTGAGAAGTATTAATGAAGCAGGAAAATTAAATTTGAAAAGTCAGGAAACTCAGAATGACTTCAGCATCATTAGGCAGTG